CACTCTTTCTCTCCACTTTTTTTTAACACACATATAAAACCTTACACAAAATCTTTATTTATAGATTCTTAATAATTCTTACCCAAAAATGAAAATCAGTAACTTACAAAAAAAACACAAAATTGTAATGTTCTTAAAACTAATTTGAGACACTTACTCAACATAAGTTATAACTTAGTGATAAATTCACATGCACGTCAAATATCGTGTAACCTACTAAATAAAAGATAGAAAAAAAAAAGGTCGTAGGTCAATTTAAAGTTTACGCCACTCGGTCAAAATTCAAAATTAGTGTACAATATTTCCAGTTTCTTATGGTTCAAATTTTGTAGAGAAGAAATAAAGTTTCTCCTCTTTTTTGGTGTGCCTATTTGAAAATTGAATTACTCTTATCCAAATAATATTTTTTGATGGGAAAATGTAGAGAAGGCAAATAGAATAATATTTGGGTTGTTCTTTTGAAGTATAATTTGAATGTAATTTTTAAATTGAATTTGAGTTATAACTTAAGTTAAAATTATAACTTAAAAGAACGTGAACTTAAATAAAATTATAACTTGAATTTAAATTTTTTCTGAGTTTTGTTAAAAAAAAACAACCCCATTGTCTTGACGAGAGTAATAGAATAATAGAATAAAACTATCCAAGAGAGTAATAAAGGCAAATAGAATAAGGGAGGTAAATTGAGGGAAGAAGTTTTGAAGGGGAAATTGAAAAATTTTGCCGTAGGCATGTTGGAAAATGTCAGTATGAATTTACAGCAGTGCAACAGAACAGTTGAAATTATTTATTACACTCACAACTACCGTTTAATTACAATGCCTATTAAAATCACCTACACACCCCATGATCTCTGCCTTGAAAGAAACAATCTTCCAAACTCACATTCCACTCTTCACACAACAGAGCTCTGTTACAAACAAAACCAAAAAAAAAAACTCTTTCTCAAACACAGTCAACATTCATGGCTGCTAGTAAACAAAGGTTGTGGTGTTTTGTTTTGGTCATGTTACTAGCACTTGCAGCCGGTGTCTCGGGCCAAAGTGGTGTAGAAGAGCCGGTCGAAGCGGGTCGTGGTGTGGTGCCTGCCATGTTTGTATTCGGAGACTCTCTCATAGACAATGGCAACAACAACAACCTTGCTTCTTTCGCCAAGGCCAATTACTTCCCCTATGGCATTGATTTCAATGGAGGTCCTACTGGTCGGTTCTCCAATGGCTACACCATTGTTGATGAAATTGGTTTGTTCTCTCTCTCTCTCTCTCTCTCTCTCTCTATATATATATATATATAT